GGGCCCCCCCCCCCCCAGTGCACAAACATCGCGCACCTGGCCCCTAGTAGTATTATATTGCACAATTCTGTGGGCTCTGCTTGGTGATTGTTCTCCATATGCTACCAGCTGGGGCTGCTATTGGCTGGGCTGCAACATTCAACAAACCTAACTTTGTTCAATTACAGGTGTGTTCCTGGTGATCTTTGGCTGTATGGTATTGACAGCATAAATATTTTAATTGTATGGTTTCAAATTCCCCAGTTCTACATTACCACTTGTCAACTTTTGGTATAGTAGCAAAAAGAATATCCACAATTATCTGAAAAAGCTATTAAAATACTCCATCCTTTTTCAACTACATGTCTGTATGAGGCTCAATTTTTTCATATACTTTACCCAACAAAATATATAATAGTTGATCAATTGCAAAAACAGATATAAAAATCTTTTATTAAGACAGTCATGAAAGATATTTGCAAATGTGGAGAACAATGCCACTCTTCTAATTTCTTTTGTTAATCTTCTTTAAAATATGTTATTTATTATCAATTTCTTGGTTTTGGTAAGTAGAGTTAAGTAAGATATCACCACTGGAAGTAGCTGGGTGATAGGAGCATGAGATCTCTGTATTATCTTTCAATTTCTTATGAATCTATAATTATTTCAAACAAAGTTTAAAAATGTTATGTTAATATGTGATAGATACATTATTTTAACTTGATTAATAAGTATCTTATATATTTTGTTTCAATTTCTAATATAGAACATATGAACAGATATAACCCACATAAGCAAAAGCTCTTTGGGATCCTCAATAAGTTTGAAGAGTATAAAAGCATCTTGCGATCAAAAAGTTTGATGATCCTGCTATATAGGTAAAGGAGGAAGTGGGGAGGTAATATGGCTCAGACTAGAGAGTTAGCAAAGGACAAAAAGGAAGATGTTAAATTCTGTAGGTGTTTCGAAGGTAGAGCCGACAAATCTGCTGATGGATTAGATACGGGAAATACGGAAAAGAGAGAAGTCAAGCTTCTGTTTTCTGTTTAAAAATAAGGAAACTGGCAGAATGAAATTGACATTAATCAGATAGGGAAGATCCTAAGGGGAACTGATTGGGGGAGCTTATGATCACACCCAAAACATGTGAATTTATGGTGAAACTGGTGTGCTGAGTTCTGAAAAGCAAACTGCCATAAAAATATTCACACCTGTGATGCTTAATTTCAGATGTCAACGTGATCATGGGGTGCCCAGATATTGGTTAAACATTATTTCTGGGTACACGTGTGAGGGTGTTTCTGGATGAGAGTAACATTTGAATTGGTAAAATGAGTAAAGGCCTCATATAACTCCTTGAAGGTCTGAACAGCACAAAAAGGCTAAGAAAGAATTCTCTCTGCCTGACGGTCTTTGAGCTGGGACGTTGTCTTCTTCTGTCTTTGGATGTGGACTCAGACTGGGAACACACCATCAGCTCTCCCGGGTCTCCAGCTTGCTAACTGCAGATCTTGGGGCTTCTCAGACTCATAGCCATAGGGGCCAATTTTTAAATAGTAAATCTCTTTATAGACAAATACAACACCCTTTGATAAAGTAACCCCATTCCTGGAATTTGATCCTAAGAAAATGTATAATTTAAAAGATTTTTGTAGAAGAAGCTATGTGCATAAAATTATTAACCACAGTGTTACTTATAATAAAAGAAAGCTGAAACAATACACATGTTGGACAATTGAAGAATGGCTGACTAGACTATAGTGCATCCATTTGAAAGAAAATTATGCAGCCATTAAACTAGTAATCATGAGGACTATGTAGTAACATAGGAAAGTACTTATAATTAGGTGTGGATTTATTTTTAAAAAATCAGAACATTAAATTATGTAATATTATAATTATAATAAGAAAAAGTAATAAAAAGAATCCATATGTTTAGGTCATGGGATTACATAAATAATTTTTCATGACTTTCCTTTACCAACATGACATTTTAAAAGTAATAAAAGGTGAAAATGGAAACGGTGAGGGAGTTGAATTATCAGTGACTCATAACTGGGGTAGGCTTCAGACTTTAAAGATACTAATACCTGGGTCCCACCTTGTGAAAATTCTAAATACACAGGCTACGTCACCTATATATTTAAAAGCACAACACACACGCGCACACACCACCCTGCACCCACAAATACAAAGGTGATTCTGATGTATGCCGGTTGGCAAATTCTCAGCATAAAGTTTCACAAATGTATGGAGAATAAGGAAGCTATTCCAGTGATATCGCTTGGCATCGCTTATGAGGCAACTTGGGTAACAGAGACCAGGCTGTCTTCAGTGGGAGGCCAGGAGCCACTGCCCTTCGCGTTGCTGGCTTGTGGGCAATCTGAGGCATTTCCCTCTGAGCAGGACTGCTCCACGAGGCGGACGGCCTCCAGGAACTCATTGATGTCGATGTGGCCGTCCTTGTTGAAGTCAATGCTCCGGGCAAGGTCACAGATGCCGTCGTCTGTGATGTCCATCTTCATATGGGAGCTGAACAGCTTCCAAGTCTGCCTGAACTCGTCCAGGGAGATGAACCCTTACCAGAGAAAGGGAAGTCAGTCAGTCAGTCAGTCTAGTTTTCCAGGTTCATTTTCCTCTGACATTCTTACAAGAACACCTGCTCTCATCTACTAATTATTATTCTCCCTATAAGAAGTTCTCATTCAGTTGGTCTTGACTCTTCTCTGCCCAAGCCCTCTCCTATCTAGGCTGCTGGTATTGTTCTTTTCTGGTTTCTGCCCTTTATAAGCATTGCCATTACTTCCGTGGCTTCCAAAGGGCTTCAGTAGAGAGCCACATACTCAGGAAGAAGACCAAAGGGTGGGAGGTAAAATATTTGCTGTGTCAGAAATGACAGGAAAATGAGTGCCTTTACCTGAATGATCACTGTCTATGATCCTAAAAATGGTCTCCAGGTTAGATCGGTTGCGATACAGTGTTTCCAGCAAACTCGACTGTATGTTCTGTAAGAAAAACTCACCTTACTTCTATATCTTATGTTTAGCTTTTCCTAATATATAATCAACACACAATCAATCCTGACAATAAGACACGCTTAGAAAAACCTGAAGGTGTTTTACCATCTCTTCACCCTCAACCCCCTTCAGCCTGCCAAATGCTCTAATGCAGCGGTTCTCAACCTGTGGGTCACGACCCCTTTGGGGGTCAAACGACCCCTTCACAGGGGTCGCCTAAGACCATTGGAAAACACATATATAATTACATATT